TATATAGATTATTTTATCCCATTTTTGACAGACTAAAACTTTTCTATTTTTGGATAGAACATTCACTAAAAAACAAATTTTAGGGTTTTTAGATGGTTTTTAGTCAAGTTTTGTTGTTTATTATAACCAATAATGTAATAAGTTGCCAAATGTCACCGTTATTGGTATAACTTTTTTACTACTCATGCGGGGAAAGTAGTATCTTTTTGCTTTCTTTTGGATTACAGTTAAGGGTTGGAACCTTTGGTGTTACACAGCAAAATAAAAACACTAAATCACCACAATACTCCAAAACAATTTTACTTTTACACTGGACGCGCGTTTCGCTAACCATGTCAGCATCATCAGCAGACTGACAGAGCAACTCAGTTTATAATCATCTGCTGATGATGCTAACATGGTTAGCGAAACGCGCGTCCAGTGTAAAAGTAAACGTGTTTTGGTGTATTGTGGTGATTTAGTGTTTTTATTTTGCTTTTTTTTGGAGTTGAAAAGACGCTAATTGCCCACTTCACAATTACCACACTAGTTTTGAGCAAATTTAATGTCGATTTGAGTGCGAAAAGTAAACTTCTCGCACCCAAATTTTCATTGGCACAGGCAAAGTGACAAGCAGAAAAGACAGTCTCGAACTGTCAATATTAAAGAAGTGAGGTTGACATTTAAATCATTTTGTTTATTTTATTACGTTGCTTTTTAATATGTTATATCATCAAAATGTGTCAAATGAATCGTCAAACAGAACTGTCAAGGATCCCCACCCTAGAGTGCTTTTATGGCGCTTTTTCCGCCCACCATGCATGAATACATGGATAGCATTATGCTCCTTCCTTAGTCTTCTTATTCAAAGATATAAACCCATCCATAGTAAACTTAAAAAATATTAGAAACTTTTTTTAGTAAAATAAATAGATTGGTATGGGACGTCATCTGCTTTTTTCTGTCATCGTCTGTCGAAATCTTACCTGAGAAAAAAAGAGTATATCGACAAAAATATTTTCAATATGGCGGCACTTCCGGAAATACCGGAAGTTGACAGCAACTTTCTTATTTTTCTTTTGGAGGAAAAAAACTGCCTGTCAAAAAAAAATTGTATAACTCAAACGTCAAATTTAGTAATTATACATAGACAAACAAATAAAAAGAGACTGGCAAATTAAATGGCAAAGAGAGGGACAACGTTCCCGTAGCGCAACTCAGAACGCAAAATTGATCTTGATCTGCGCATTGCGTCTATTGGGCCCACTATCTCATTCTAATATAACAAGAGAGAAAGAAGCAACCATATAAAACGTAATTTCTAAATAGAAATTAGAACAATCGCCTTTCGTTTTCGTCATCATGACAACCAAGATAACATCATGACAATTCGTCATGTTTGTTAATTTTTCTTTTGGTGATTTACCTTTTATTCTAAACTCTCCATTTTATTGACTTATGAATATCGATAGGGAACAAATTCCTTTATTCCATATAGGTATTTATATTTTGTTACTTATAATTTTCGGTTGTACTATGTGTTATTTTATTTGCTGCAGGACACAGTATCATCTATTTTTTATATGTATTGGTGCCCCCTTTCTCTGATAGATATGTTAAAGACACCCGGTAAAATAAAAGTAAGTAGTTATATTTATCATCTTATTAAGAAAAAAGTAGAAGTAGTATGGTCAAAAATATTTCGAACCTCTCTTAACATAACAAATTAATACAATTAATTTTTTTCATTTTTTGGGTAGGTAGTTTATAGCTGGTTTATAGTAACCCGAAACGGCTCTGGTGCACAATAGGTCCCCACGCATTTAACACTTTTTTGGGATTTTTTTGCAAGATTATCTTAAACTGAATATTTTTAAGCATAAAAATTGTTGGATGAATGTGTTTTATCTTTAAAAAGCGGCAAAAAAACGTATTTTAGGTACAGGCGACGGACAGTAAATATGTTAAATTTTCTACGCGGATTCAGTAAAAACATCACATATTAGTACTTTATTACCTTATATAGACGTGGAATGATCTAATTTAAGCACAAAATGTAACGAATCTTTAAAAGCATAAAAATTAAGAAAATATATTTATTTACATCAGCTCAAGCTAGCAATTTTATGACTTTTCGATTGACAGTTAATCGATCATCGGTATGTCATCTATGGCCTTCGCATAGAATTTGCGACGTTGTCAATAAAATTACTTTATGTGGAGGGACTTAAAACGGTAAGTTATCACTTTAGTGCAACAAAAATTGAACTGTCTAGTAGCTTATTCGTTAGTGTGGATTATTTTAAAGCAATTTCTGAAATAAAATTTGCGGATTTTTCAGGTTCTACGAAAATATAAGTTTTTTTAATATATACTGTTTTTCGACGCGTAATCAATGAAGTTTTGTCATTAGGCTCAATTAGGTTAGCCTGGTTATTTGGAAGGTGGTAATGCATTGGTTAGCCTGGTTATTTGGAGGGTGTTAATGCAATGGTTAGCCTGGTTATTTGGAGGGTGGTAATGCATTGGTTAGCCTGGTTATTTGGAGGGTGTTAATGCATTGGTTAGCCTGGTTATTTGGGGGTGTTAATGCATTGGTTAGCCTGGTTATTTGGAGGGTGGTAATGCATTGGTTAGCATGGTTATTTGGAGGGTGTTAATGCATTGGTTAGCCTGGTTATTTGGGGGTGTTAATGCATTGGTTAGGTTAGGTTAGATAGGCTGGTTATTTGGAGGGTGGTAATGCATTGGTTAGCCTGATTATTTGGAGGGTGTTAATGCATTGGTTAGCCTGGTGATTTGGAGGGTGTTAATGCATTGGTTAGCCTGGTTATTTGGGGGTGTTAATGCATTGGTTAGGTTAGGTTAGGTTAGATATTCTGGTTATTTGGAGGGTGGTAATGCATTGGTTAGTCTGGTTATTTGGAGGGTGTTAATGCATTGGTTAGCCTGGTTATTTGGGGGTGTTAATGCATTGGTTAGGTTAGGTTGGTGGGGAGTGTTTGGAAGTACGCAGATCACATCCATTTCGGAATCTTACTGAACAAATCCGGGAAAAATATATTTTTAAACAATTGTGCTAAATACTGTGTAATGATTTTATTGTCAATTTATTTTTATAGTGTTTTTGTTTTGCCTCGTTTATTATATTTTTAATTTTTCGTGTTCTTAAAGTGCGTACTAAATGTAAAAAAAATGAATATAAAGTAGAACGTTTTCGTCGATTTTACACAGGGTGAGTATGGCAACACTGTGCATAACCTCGTATTTTACTGTCTTTATGAAGGTTATAATTAGCGATGGGAACTATCGAATGAATTAGACTATCGAATGGTTACCGAATGAATGATTTCAACTATCGAATGGTTTTATTCGAATAAAATCATTCATTCATTTGTATATTAAAAAATATGTGACAACCTCGCCGTGCAACTAAATGGTTATCGTTGAGCCACGACTATCGAATGCTTTTGATAAATGAAATTTAGTATTCGTTTGATTTTTGTGTGCGTCAGTGCATTATAAGTTCTTCAAATTTTATAACTTCACCTTATAAATACTGTGCTATATTTTTGCGTTTATTAAAATATTTAAAATACTAAAATAGTAGTTTTTTTTAATTGACGATTGTGTGCGTGTGCAGGTGTCAACATTATTCCGAAAATTTGTGTGATTTTCCGTAGCCCGATCTTTCAATTATTTTATTTTATATGGTATATATGGTCTATTTTTTTCTAATGTGAAATTTTGAGAAGTAGCAATTTTTAAAGAGAGATGAGATGTACTTAAAAATTAATTTTTAAAATACATATTTGTATTTTAGATGTTTTAATAATATGAATTAGTTGAACTTAATAATCATATTTTAGTAATGTGGTTAAGTAAATGGGGTTATCGAACTCAAACTATGGGGTGAGAAAATTAAATTGAAAGTTTTATGCGTGCCAATTTAAAAAAGTTAACGATGTTTGTATTTTGTTTATATAATTTCTCTTACATGTAGGTTTTTGCGAAGAAATATTTCATTTATTTTTTAAAGTAAATGCCAGTAAAAGTAAATATTATTTTTAAATAGTAATATAAAGTACCTAATATAAATAATTTTGATTTCTAATTTCTAATTTTTTATTTATATTTTCCTTCCATTACACTGCATGCTTAGAAAATTAATAAATGTTTATATTTCATGATTTTAAAGTTTGTTGTTAATATAACAAATTAGTTCTGTAATTATTATTATTTAATAAACCAACGTTGCCAAAAAATTTAAAGACTATATTATTTTTAAATAGGATCTAATATAAATAATTTTGACATCTAATTTGTTGTTCATATTTTGCTACTACGTAAAAAAAATGTTTATATTAAATTATTTTAAATTTTGTTGTTAATAGGTATAACAAATTATTACTGTTATTATTATTTTTATTAAACCAGTCTTTGCTTAAAAACATTAAAAATCATTTTCCTACATCCAAAATAACAAGTATTATTGCAGTGTAACAACAGAATATTAATAAAAAAAATGCAAAATATATAGACATACTATCCCTAACTAACTAAAGACAAACAATAATATCACAGGCCGACAAAAAAAAATTTTTTCGATGTAACACAAAGCTCAATAGGATATTGTGGTAGAATGAACCTATCTAATCACGAAAGTGGCAAAAAAAAAGTCGTAACACGTAAGGTTTTTTTGTTACATTAATAAAACATCATTCAATATTACAATATTCAATATATTAAGATAGCTATTCAAAACATGATTTAAGAACTTCTTAAGCCTATATACCGATTATATTTTTATAGTTTACACTCCTCAAACATTACTTATACCTAAAAAAGTACAAAAACAATCGAAACGAGATCAAAACATAAACAAAAACTTTTACTTTTTCCTTTTATGAGGGACCGCGTCTTCTCTCTTCAAAACCAACAGTAATCACCCATCATGGCTGGATCCCATCGTCCTTGATAACGAATTTCCATTGTTCTTATGTCTTGATGGAATCTCTCACCTTGCTCATCACTGACAGCACCCATATTTTTCAGGGAAAAATGACAAATGAGAATGGAGAAAGTGAATTTTTTAAAGACATTCGGGCACCAAGCGATTTATAAGCATCTAAAAGCTCATTAACCAATTGTTCGTAGCGTCGCATCCTTATTGTTTCCCAAAAATCCCCTCACTACACTAACAAATGAGGTCCATGCTCTGAGTTCCTGCCTGGTAAGCGTGTCTGTGAAATTTGTGTCGTCCAACAATTTCCTGATTTGTGGTCCAATAAAAAATACCCTCTTCAATTTGGCATCACTCAACTGGGGAAAGACTTGCCTTAGGTATTTAAATCCATCACCTTCTTTATTCATAGCTTTCACGAAGTTTTTCATGAGGCCAAGTTTGATATGAAGAGGAGGCAGGAGGACGTCTTTGGGGTCTACAAGAGGATATACTTGACATTTTGGGAACCCGGTTGAAATTCACTTCTTTCTGGCCAAATTTTCTGTACATAATGATGATTTACTGCACGACTGTCCCCACAAACAAAGAAAAACAGCAATATTTTGTAAATCCTCCTGAAGTCCCCACTAAAATTCCTATAACTTTCAAGTCCCCACATATCTGCCATTTATACCTGTTGTAGTTGATTCTATCTAAAAGCATGCGCATATTTTCATAAGTTTCCTTCATTGTCACTGAATGGGCAACTGGTATAGAGGGTTTTAAATTTCCGTTATGCAATAGGGTTTTAAATTTCCGTTAAGCTTTTAGGCTATATTTCGACGAATCTATGAATAAGCGCCACTCACAGGGAGAATGTTCTATAGAAAGTTCCTGCATTAAGCCATCGATATCAGTACATGCACACAACGAATCCTCCATACTGTAGAATGCAGAGAACGGAGCATTTCTTTTTCTAAAAGTGGTGATTTTTGTTTCATTGGCTAACAGATTCCATTCCTTAAGCCGGGATCCAAGAAGTTCTGACTGCTGCTTTGATAACCCCAAGTCACGCACTAAGTCATTCAACTCGCTTTGAACAATCAAATGTGGCTTGTCGGAACCGCCCTCTGGGGTAAAGGTAGATCAGTACACTGGTCTCCAGAGCTGTTTGATTCAATATCTTCCTTCTCTTCCAAAACAATACCTTGCCAGTCTAAGGGCGCGATCGGCACTGGGAGATCTGCACCATGAAGAACAGGTCGTATGGCAGACGGCAAATTGGGATACTCGATCTTGTGCTTTTGTTTTTTGAAAACCTTCAGTTTTCGTCAGGCAAAAATAGCAATCGTCAAAATGGTTAGTTGGTTCTCGCCATACCATTGGAACCGCAAATGGCATTTTTTTCCTCTTCCCTTTCATCCACTGCACAAGCGACACGCTACAAGTAACGCAGCACACATGAGGAGCCCACTGCTTGTCTTGATCTCCAACCAAAACTCCAAAATACTTGAAGTAGGCTTTCTTCACATTTTTCAGAAAATGGTCTGGCTTGTGATTGCACCATAAATTCTCCACAAATGTAACAAAATCGATCAGGAGACACTTTACAACTGCGGCGCGTTTGACTTGACATTTTCGTACTATTTATCTACACGCATAGAACAACTCACGTCGAAAATCAACTGAAAACTGAACTCTCTTATGTTTTTTCACAATATATTATAGTGCACAAATGCGTCCCTTTCAATCATCCCATCATAAAATTTACCTGTATGTAAACGAATCTACCTAGACTTAATACCTGACATCTATAAAATTGACTACCTGCAAAAAAGAGGCGTAATTAGGCAACTGAAAAGTGGTACGTGTAGGAGCTTCAGGAGTATTTTTTCTGTTATTAGAAGCATATTTTTATGAAGAAATTCTGCAACTGACTCGTGTTACAAAAATCATGTCGGCCTGTGTATTCTTTGCTAATATCAACTAATACCAATATATGGCAACAGCGCCCTTCATAATGTATTTTCTGTGTAAATACTAGCACCTCAATAAAAAAAAATTGTCCTTATCTTTATGACTCCGCAAAAAATCAAAGATGCCGGCTTCTTTCATAGCATTGCCACCGACCGCTGTCGGGTATCTCGGAAAGAAACCTACGTCGCCGGGCGACAACTAAAATCCAGTTAATATTTTATTATAATCGATCCTGACGAATAAATGAATTTCATAAATGAATGATTTTTATAAATGAATGGTTTTTGCTGCCGAATTACTAGAATACAATATTTCAAGGCAGATGACGCATCTATTCGATAATTTTTATTCGAATAGTTTTCAACGAATGTTTTTTACTAGCTATCGAATTATTCGAATGAATTGCAACTATCGAATGTTTCGATAGTATTTATTCGATAGTTCCCACTACTAGTTATAATAGGGAGTTTTCGCATTGAAATGTAGTGAAAATTTGGAATTTTCAATTATTTTTTTTCGTAGAAAAAGTGGTTCATCCAACAATTTTTTTCTTTTAAACCATTCCATTAACTATGGGATCCACATTAAAAATTAAAAAAACCACGATTTCGTGGGGACCTGTTTTGCACAAGACCCACCAGAAACTTTATTAATATACCTATTTTACTTTTGTTTTAGGATTAAAACTGGACTTGAAAATGGTTCAGGATCAGGATTCCCGCAAAGTCTTCTTTGCTTGGATAATCACTTTGTTATTGCAATTAGGCAGTTTTTTCGAAAATGAGATTTTTAATGCCCTTTAAAAAAATTGGCCAATCGTTTCCTGCAACAGTCAGTTCTTCTGCATTTAAAATTGGTAGGTGGGTGGAATAAACACTGTTATTTTTTGTTATTATTTTATAAAAAGTTTATTTATTTTTATGTATAAATAAATATGTTTATAAAACAGTACAATTGTTGCTTTTTTTTATAATTTCCCTTATAATAGTAGTATTCTTTCGTTCTGAAAGAAACTGCAAATTTTCACTTAAACTGATTTATTCTCTACACCACGTTCCCTTTACGTGGTATAGGGAATAAATCAGTTTAAGTGAAAATTTTCAGTTTCAGAATGAAAGAATACTACCTACTAATTAAGGCTAATTTAAATTTTCCGCCAGCCAGAATGTGCGATAATGTCTTACGATACGTTTTATACCTATCTCTTTCTTTTTCATATAAAGCACACATAATAAAGAAAGATAGTAATAAAGACGTACGTCCTGCCATGGTCCTGCTAATTGGTTTCAAAATTGTTATTCTGAGTTGCTCTACGGGAACGCGGTTCCACTCTTTACCATGAGATTTGTCAGTCTCTTTTTATTTGTTTGTCTATGTAATTACCACTGCCAATGTGGCATAAAGAGAAGACATGTGGCCTTTGCATGTGGCTATCTATTACAAAGATTAAATTGTTTGAATGTCATATAATATTGGCCGTAGCTGTCATGGAATCGCGAGATAAAGAAAATATCATAAATCATTTTTTTCAAATGGAAACCCACTATTTTTATTTCACTAATGAAAAGGTTTTTTAATTCGTTATTTTTGATTATACATGTTCGTATACTTAAAATAAATCGATTTTAAGTTATTTAAGATTAAGTTTGAAAGCACATATTTTTCTGGTTTTTAACCAAGAACGGTTTATGTTAGCTATAGAGTGATATCAAAATTCATAAAATTTTACAAAGAATTTAAGTATGTAATAAAAAATTGGGGTACCCATTTAAAATTAGAAAGCTGCTCTCAACCGGTATTTCCGGAAGTGCCGCCATATTGAAAATATTTTGAATCGATAGATCGCATTGTGAAACAATTATGTGCAAAAAATCTCCGATCTAGATATTGTAGTTTTCTAGAAACTTCTAATGCAAGCTCAGCCTGGGACACCCTGTATATCTCGGCTGTAATGTGTTTCAAATGGAAACCACATTATACAGGGTGGCGCCTCTCATACGCCGCGGAAGCTCCAAGGAGAACGATAGTTTATATCGAAATGAAATTTTGGCAGCATATGTAGGTTAACTGAAAGTATTTTATAAAAATATATAGAATTATACAGGGTGTCCCAAAAAAAAAGAATCATACACATAAAAGTTGTGTTTTTTCTAACGGAACACCCTATATATGAATTGATTTTCGGATTCTAGGAAAAAAATAAAGGTGAGTTTTATTAAAGAAGCATATACTTAAAATCTAAGGATTTTGACATCTTTTACATTTTGTGAAAATGAAGAGTAAATTTTAAATTTCTATAACAACTACCTAAATTTTAGTTGACCTTGTATAGCCTGATATTTAATTACAGTAACTATTATATGTTAAACCAAATTGAAATTTGACCCGAAAAGTTATACAGGGTGAGACAAAATTAATATGGAACATTAGTCACTTTTAAAAGCAAGTTACTCCTTTATTTTAAATGGAACACCCAGCATATTTTTCCGGTATTCAGTGGGGAATTTATATATCTTCAAAATATTATTAAGGTTGCCTACCCCTCAGACAAAAACTTTCCTAGATATTTTAATTTTTATGATTTTGCGTCAGTAGATCTTTATTATTTGAAAAAATCTAGGGTGGCTGTGTGATATACCTTTTGTTAATTTAACAACAATTAAAGATTGTAGAGTAAAATACTCAACGGTAATAAAAAGACACACGTTTAAAACATATTTTAATTATTACGGAATTAAAACTAGATATAAACATATAATTATATATGCGACAAAAATTAGCTAGATGAAATCAAATGCTCAAAATGCTTCCTTTCCTGTTAACTACATAAAATGATTGTCTTTTCAAAAGAATATTTTCATTTTAAAAGGCATATGTGTTGTTCTACCTCTAAAAGCAGCTATAATAAATTCCTCTCATGTTGTCGACAATAGAGTTTTGTAAACACTGTCTTTAACATATCTCCATAAAAAAAACACAGACTAGATAAAATCAGGAGCATTTAAGTATTCTATTAATTGGTGAATGCATACTGCATTATAACATAGAATCATATCAATTTTTTCTGATGTAAGATAAGTTTGCAAATTTCTGAGATTTTTTTTTGTTTTAACTGACACAAAATGATAACTAGTTGTTAAAGCTGGACTAATTAGACAACTATGTTGAAGTAACGTCAAACATATCACCAGCCACCTAGATTTTATCAAATAATAAAGATCTACTTAGATCAAATCATGTAAATGAAAATATCTAAGAAAATCTTTGTTTGAGGGGTAGGCAACCTTAATAGTATTTTGAAGAGACATGAATTCTCCATTGAATATCGGAATAATATACTGGGTGTTCAATTAAAAATAAAAAAGTAACAGGGTTTTAAAGGCGACCAATGTTCAATATTAATTTTGTCTCACCCTGTATAACATTTTGGATCAAGTTTTAATTTGATCTAAAGTACAATAGTTAATTCAACTACATATTAGGCTACACCGGGTAAATTCCAATTTAGGTAGCTTTTATCGTAATTTAAAAATTGTTCTTTATTTCTAGAAAATGTTAAATATGTCAAAAACCTTACCTTTTAGTCATATACTTCTCCTATAAAACTCACCTTTATTTTTTTCCCTGAATCCAAAAATCAATTAATATATAGGGTGTTACATTAGAAAAAACACAACTTTGAAATGTAACTTTTTTTGGTGACACCCTGTAGAACTCTCTATATTTTTAAAAAGTGCTCTGAATTAACCTACATATGGCCACAAAATTTTATTTCAATACAAACTGTCGTTCTCCTTGGAGCCTCCGCGGCGTATGGGAGGCGCCACCCTGTATTCATTATTATTATTTTGATAAAAATTATAAATACTTTACATACTTAAAATTATTGTGATATTAATTCTAAAACTATTTGGAGATGCATTTTCTAATCTCTATAATACTTTTACAATACTCTGAAATGAATAATTTTAAAATGTAAATAATAAACATAACACCATTTTCTTTATTTACTTTATGGTTGATTCTTAAAATTATTCCATATTTTGTACTATACTATAATATTGTTATAGGTATAATTTAATTTTATAAATAAATTATCTATAGATAAACAGTTGCGTTTCATTCAAAAATTGTAATATAAAATGTACAAAAGCTATTTCCTATTGGCCAGTTTAAACGCTGGTCAAGTATTGTCCACTACTGTATTGTTTTGCTATTAGTTTGGTCCTTATTCTTCTTAGTAATCTATCACAGCAATCTTCAAAATCACTCATTGATAACGGGTGCTTTTTACTATACAAATTGATATAAATGCCAAATACTACAACGCATCCAGACCAGAAATACCTTAAAAATAAGAAAAAAACTATACTATTTATGTATACAGGGTGATTCACGGCCATGGTACGTTAGACGTTTATGGAGAACCAGTAATAGATTTTTTTAAAATTTGGATTTTTGCATAAAAGCAATTAAACGCTCTTATCTTTTTTTTGTAATGAAATTGAAATTCAGTGAAATGAATTTACGGTTATAAAATACAAAAAAAATATTATTTACAAAGCTGTTTTTTTATAAATTACCAATGTTACCGTAATATTACGGGTAAATATTACCGATTTATAAATTACCGGTAATTTTACATCACTATTCATAGTATTCATTGATACTTTCTTACGATACCAAACCAAACCAAACTCTTCTAAATAAATAGTGATGTTATCTCTTATTGTTCTTACTTCTGAACTTCTTTTGAAGTTCCTATAATGTTTTTAACAATTGAAGCATTCCCTCGAATAATGGTTTATGTTGCATTTTTCAGATTCTGGGATTTTTGCACAAAAAGGGTCTCTGTAGACAAGTTCATCCTTTTACAGTAATAAATACCCCATAATATGCCGTCATCTATGCGGCACCATCTTTTCGAGCATCGAATATGGATAAAGTAAAAATTTCAGCTAACGTCTCCTTTTTGCTGCCAGCGCTAATCTGGACTTTTAGTATTGAAAATACTTCTGGCCGCGTTTATATGGGACCCATCTTCGAAAAAACGACATGCTCGAGCCAACATGGGTTCGATAACCTGCCTGTCAACACGTCGATAGTTTAGCCGGCGTTAGGAAAATGTAATAGGGCAAGGACATTCGAAGGCCGAAATGAGGTAGAGGTCGTAAACTTTCCCTTGAACAGCAGCACGATACAGAGTTTCGAACCGGTCACCCGTCCATCCACCAGTATCGCCTTACGTCGCTTAACTTCGGTGTTCTAATGGGAACCGGTGTAGCTAGGCCGTTGCTCGGAATAAAGATATATGTTGTCGCATTTTATTCAATATCGTAAATATGTCGAATGTTCAAGTCACGCCGTCGCTTTGCAAAACATTAAATAAAGGTCGAAAACGAAAAATAAATGTAACTGAATGGAGGTGTATTAAAAACAAACGGTTAAGAAATGTACAACTTGTACACAAAAAAAATGCAATCTAAATTGGTTCCCTGCATAGACTTAAAATAAAATATAGACTGAGCATCTCATTCATAAATAGCTGGAACATGCGGTCAGACAATATCTTGTTATTGTTGTGTTATTGTTTTAGGTTATAACGAGTGCGACACGAGCGATAGATAGGTTGTCTCTGTCGTAACGGTCGTTCCCTGACGACTCTGACGAGAAACACAACACTGTCTTTCGTTTCTCAAGTACACCTGAACTCTCCGTATCATAGCCGGGTAATTTTTTGATTTTAATGAAGATATAATTAAATTAAAAATATATCGTATTTAAACTTTTTTATATTTTATTAAGATTTAGGACAGGTTTTTTTAAATAAAAGTTTAGAAAAAACGTCTTAGAGTCCAAAAAGGATAAAAATAATAAAATACACGTTATAGAAGAAATTTTATAATCGAAATTACGTAATTTTTGAAATTAATAATAAATTATTAATTTTAGTCAAACATTTACAACCCCTAATATTAATCAAAGCAGCATCTATTCCACAGATATAATAGAATCGGCGACAGGGAGAGAAAAAAAATATATGATTGTTGTAATTTTTTTTCTGGTTAAGTGATGTCTTATTATGTAAATTAGAGAAAACATAAATCTGTTGCATTAAAGCAAGGAAGGTGATAGGAAGTGGATAAAATGAAAACTATATTTATTTAACTCGGTACTGTCTTTATTATACCGGGTGCGTCCCAAAAGTGGCTCATCCCCATAATTTTTTTATATTTTTAAATAAAAAAACAAGATTTAGTATGTTAGTATATGACATAAATTAGGATTGATTGACGCATCCAATTGTTTTTGGTCACTTCCTGTTTCACTGGAAATGACTATAACTTTTAATTTTCTACTTTATTCGATAGAAAATGACACTCTGAATAGAATGACATATCATATGTTAACTTTTGACATTTTCGCATATGGTTTAATTGTAATTGTAACACGCGGTTCATAACAATTTGACTCGAAATACCAAGTGTGTGGTATCAATATATTCATAAAAAATGTTTTTTCCAAGTATATTAGTCACCCTTTTTCCATTTGAAAAAATTGACATATGTATGATTAAAAATACGATTTGTACATCTTTTAACCGGCCTAGACAAGGCACGAAACCTATTAGACGATCAAAACTATTTTTCCAAGGCTCCTTGATTAAAACTTAGTGTTTTTAACAACACCATGGCACCCTGGATTGAAATTTAAAATACGATTTGTTTTTAAGCGACAATGTCAAAAGTTGACATGATATGTCATTCTATTCAGAGTGAGAGTGCCTTTAAAAATCAAAAGATGTAATCATTTCGGTGAAACAGGAAGAGACCAAAAACAATTGAATACGTCAATAAATCCTAATTTATGTCATATACCTACTAACATACAAATCTGTTTTTATCTGAAAAAATAAAAGTTATATAGGGGTTAGCCACTTTTGAGACGACCCGGTATATTAAAAAAATTGTTTCATAATGTAATATCATTTTAAAATTCTTGTATGTTATTTTAGATTCTGAAGATAATTTTAGAATAAACCGGAATATATTTTTAATAAAAACATTATTAATTATTAACAGGGTTATAATTATGATTTTGTTAGAATGTAAAAGTAAGTAAATAATGTAATGTAAGAGAAAAATTCAGATTTTACATTTTACTAAAATATTATCTAAATAAGCGCCTTTCTACAACAACGCCACTGACTCCTAATGGGTAAATTGAGAGTTGCCTACCGGTCGAAAGTCGTTTCAAGACTTAAATGGATTATTTAAGTCAAATTTCTTGCAAATTTGGCACTGGCGAACCATATTTTATAGTTCTTGAACAGAAAAAGTCAATAAAATAAACACTTAAGGACTACAAGCTAAGAAAATGCGTTAATACAACCGGGGACAAAGCGGCAACAAAGCTTTACCGCACACGTGCGACGCGTACTACAAGGTAATAAATGAATGAATAGGCTTCCTCGCCTCTAATCGGTGTTGTCATATTGTAAAGAACTTATCCTTTTTAAACAGTATCCGACTTATAATTTAGTAGTATAAGGACTATTTAATACATCTATGGAATATTAAAACCTACTTTATTAAAATGTAGTATTAATATCTCAATATATGTGTATAACAAGAAAAAAAATATTGATAATATTAAAGACGTGACAACATAGGCTGGATGAGGAAGGCTCGGTCGACTGTACCCAGAAGTAAACATGTGTACAAAAAAGATTGTTTGACCGCGTTGAGATGTAAATAGTGTAGTCTATATTTTATTTTAAGTCTATGGTTCCCTGCAATAAGGGTTTATGTTACATTTCACATAAACCCTTATTCCTGGGACTCAAGAGTTTATTACATATATCTCTAATACGGGTTTATTATTATTTTTGTTGTGCAACTTTTTATATCTGGGGATTAATAAAATTGATGTTAGTACCACTTGAATATGATTATCAATACGCAAACCATAGAAAATCGTTTTTCTTCATTTACTTAAAACTTACTTTTGTAACATAGTCCCTTATTCGAGGGAAGCCTTCAATTATTGAAATTTATACAGGGTCCGGCAATAGTGCGTCGGGCATCTGTAGCTCATAGAATAAAATACTTGAGAATTTTGTTTTAGTGCAAACCTAAAGTATGTACCAGGATGTATTTCAGGAAAATATTTTAACTTCTAGTGAGTGGACCTGGATGATTTTTTTTAAACGGAACACCCTGTATATTATTGCATTTTTGGATTCCTTTCCGATCACTTTACATACACCTAAGATATAAATATATATATTTCGATAGTTTCAGAGATATTAAAAAATAAATCAAAAATATATATTTTTCAGCCCTTCTTAAAAAAATTATTAAAAATACAAGAACTGTTCTGAAATCAAAACTTATATTAGGTATTTACTTTAGATGGTCTATTCTTACTTTGCTATAAATATGGTAATCGTAAATCCTACAGGATGTTCAATATTCTACGTCAAACTTTCTAAAATATAAAATATGTTTTCATTGTTTTTTTTTAAATGGAACACCCTGTATATTATTTTTTTATTAGATGGAGAGTGTAAAAATGAACATTTTTTGTATATGAGTATTTCAAAATTCTTAACGGTTTCGCAGATATACGCAATATTATTTCATATGGCGCTTTCAATGGTAAAATACGAGAGAAAAATCATTGGGTGGCTTTGATAAAAATTTACTGTGGAAAATGCCACATGAAATATAAAACCGCAAATATCTGCGAAACCGTTAAAAATTTTAAAATATTGTAAATACAAAAAATGTTCATTTTTTAATTCTCCGTCTATTGAAAAAATAATATTTCCATTTTCCATAACAGTTCCATTTAAAAAAACGAAGAAAAATTATTTTATATTTTAGAAAGTTTGGCGTAGAATTTTGAACATCCTGTATAATTTACGATATTCATATTTATAGCAAAGTAAGTACAGACCATCTAAAGTAAATATCTAATATAGTTTTGATTTCAGAACAGTTCTTGTATTTTTAATAATTTTTTTAAGAAGGGCTGAAAAATATATATTTTTGATTTATTTTTTAATATCTCTGAAACTATCGAAATGTATTTATTCATATCTTAGGGTTATGTAAAGTGATCGGAAAGAAAGCCAAAAATGCAATAATATACAGAGTGTTCCATTTAAAAAAAATCATCCAGGTCTACTCACACTTTTTTGAGCCACCCTATAGAAGTTAAAATATTTTCCTGAAATACATCCTGGTACATACTTTAGGTTTGCACTTAAACAAAATCCTCAAGTTTTTTATTCTATGAGCTACAGATGCCCGACGCACTATTGCCGGATCCTGTATATGTTATTTTTTTATTGATTTTTATTTATATTTGACATGATACTATCATACGGCTCCGGTTTCGGAAACCCTAACTCTAATCAACAAACAAAGGTCTCTTTTATAGAAGTAAATTGTGTCCAATATACTCATTTTGATTCAAAAAATACATAACACAGTTCTATGTCCACTGGAATATTGGGACACCCTCTATTTTAAAAATATGAAATACTTACTGCATTGTGAAAGGCTTACTGAAAAAGATAAAAGATATTATTATGGTCACAGCCTTTCTCATTGTCGTAACAGTAACAGCAGCAAAAGCCCCTGTAGTTCTGACTAGAGTTAGAACCACTTGAATACCCAGGTAACCTGTTACAGAAAAAATAAATGCATAACCATAGGTGATATATGGACTCTAAAAGGTAAAGATTTAATTAAACAAAATTGCAAGCGGTCAAGATAAAACTTACTTCAGCAAAAAAACTTAGTCCACGAAAGAAGTCTCCAGTAGCTAACATAACAACAAAAATATATACAAATCCAAGTCCATAAGAATAGAGCACTACTTCAGCATTTGGGGCTCCATATCCTTTCATATTTTTTTCTTGTACATTTCCAATAACGGCATCACAAAGCAGAGCAAGCGAGATCACAGTTATACCTTTTGTATTAAAATTGGGTTGGACCTGTGAATCAGCTATTAAGACAGAAAAATTAAAATTAATCAAAATACACTCAGATGCAAAAGGAGCAATGGAGAAATTCTTTCTCAAATTTAAAGTGTTATGTTTTTTATTTTTAGCCCTATTTTCATGATTTTTTTACAAAACTGTGTATAAATATATCAACGTTAATTCTTAAACTCAGTTTTTTTATAAACATTAGTATTTGGCCTCGTATTTGGCTTATTATACGGGGTTAATTAAGGGGTTGTTTTTTACCCTAACTTTAAAACACCCTGTGCAATAATGATGTGAGCAAATATTCAGGTTAGAATTGTGACTCCTGAGCATTTTATTTTTTGATTCATGTCAACACACGCTTTGGTTAGTTTGGTTTGGTTTATAATATGACATTATGGCAATAGTCACTTAAGAGAGACCCCTCTCTATATTAAAAAATAACATCAAAAAGTAAGGATAACTGAAAAAATTGCAAATTGTGGAAAATTCATTTCGCTCTTAAAAATTAACCAAATGTGTTGACATGAACAAAAAAAACAAAGAGCTCAGGAGACATGGTTCTGACTGAAAAATAATGTTTTGGGAAATTTTGCTCATGAAATTATTGCACAGGGTGTTTTAAAGTTAAGGTAGAAGGCAACTATTTAATTAACCCTGTATAATAAGCCAAATACTTAAATATATAACAAAATTGAGTTTATAATTTAAAGTAAATATATTTATATAAGGTTTGCTAAAAAAATCATAAAAATAGGTGTAAAAATAAAAAAATTCCATTTTTTTGCATCAGGGTGTATATACTATTCTTATTTTATAAAAATTAGATTATGAAAATTTGTTAGATATCAAATAATACACAAATGACAAAAAAAACTACAATTATTAGTTATAACAAATACACACCCAATGTGAATAATGTTAACCCAACACACATTAGTAGAGCTGAAAGAAAATCCAGTGGTCCATACCGTTTTCCTTGTATAATAATGCCTCCAGCTAGTACAGGTATCAGCTTGCAACTTTTAAATATCACTTGCGTAGGATAATTGAGGTACTCTAGAGATGAATTTGAGAAGCCCATAGTGCCCAAAGTTAATAGTGCTAATACAAAATAAACCTTCATAGGTATACTAAAAAAAAGATATAATTACAATTATTTAAATAATGAATAGTAAATCATTTTCATTACCATCTCTTATGAATGCCCCGAATCTTTGTTTCCACAATTCCAAATATTGTATAATATCCAAATTGCACCAAAGTCAGATACCAACCAAATGGCTTAAAATCCTTAATGGTAAAAATAAGCTCTTGCATGTATCCATAAAGCAAGTAAAACACGAACACCGCTGCACAGCATAACATAAACTGGACCGTTTGACTGAAATTACTTATATCAAGACACAAGATGCTGCTTTTTTGTTTTTCTGGTTGTGGATTTAAAACGGGTTCTTGTTTGACAGCCATATCGTTGGTATGGGATGTAATTATTGTATTAAAGCATTTTAAAATAGGTACTCATCATAGATAACACACACAAGTAATAATTATACTCATTTTTTCCGACACGTAACCATTTTGAATATTGTTATGAACAAAATTGACAATCAGCTGTGTGTTGTCAACACACATGGCAGCCAACATAATTTCCTTTAAGCAATTTCGATTGAAAATCGGTTGTGATATGATTTTCCCAATAAATGTTTATTAAAAAATAACAAAGATTTAGTAAAATGATAGCCAGCATTAATGTAACATTACTCTCACCAAAATAATTATTTGTAAGCCAACCATATTGATTAAAAACGTATTTAAATGAAGAAATAAATTTATTGAGCGCCATCTGAACTTGAGAATGTAAACAAGAAAATAGTAATGGCCGCCGCGTATCGGCAGTGATCTTTGCGGGACGTTTTGCCTTGAACAATCGCAATAACAAAAATAAAAATTATGGTAATTTTGGTTCGGTGAGAATTACTTAAAAAAACACAGTGAAACAGTGATTTTATTATGTATTGTACCGTCGATAAGAGTCACTGCAGTGCTACCTCCAGCACCAATGCCAAACCGAAGGATGGTAAGATGGTTTTTGTTGTCTTTGCAGTAACTTTGCTCCTAGGCGTGCTATATATTATTCAAATAATAAGAATTAACAAGAAGGCCGATTCATTAATGTTTCGACTCGACAGTTATTTCTTTTCGAAACTTAGCAGAGTAATACAAATATCTATTAAATATTATGTATGTTATATTTGGTATGTTTTGATTTGTACTGCTTAGGTTTTGTGTAACGTTGTTTTGTTTATTTCGGCAAACAAACAGTTTTTAAGGAAAATATTTCAGCTGTTTCTAGTGTTTTTAGTATAGGAACCTAATATATATTTTTAGATAGTTTAATTCGGTATTACAACGGATTAAGAGTTTAACTGTCTATCTTATCGTGAATTTTGTCATGAAGTCGTAATTTTGTATTCGTTTTAGTTCCGGCAAAATGATCACTTTTACGACCAGTGAAACAAATTTGATTCCGACAAATCTCGAACGAATCAACGAACTTTAAGTTGCTCGTTCCAACTAATCGGTTCTGTAGGAAGTAAATCCATTTAAGGGCTCTTAATTATTGTCCCTACCGTGCCGGGGGCAGTTGGCGTAATAGCGACCGGGGGGTATTAAAAGTAGGGGAAACTAGAGTAAAATTTCTATCGACACAAAAAACGACAACAGGTTTGTTCCAGTTCGAGACAAAAGCGAATTGGAAACGATTGTGGTGTGAAAAATTGCCTCCGGAATTGTCTTCTCGCCGTTACAAAGTGCTTTTGCGAGAAACGGCTCCCCAGAGGGTGCAAAAATCATTTTTAAAGGAGGTGTAGTGGCACTCTCACGAAGATAATCGTTCTTGGAATGCCAATTCAAGCCGCGGGTGGAGGAACTTCGCATAGAATGTATAAAAGAAAATACGTATGATTTTTCTTGTTATACCTAGTGTACGAGGTCGCGATAATGCATCGAATTAATTTTGATTGATAGGTTTAAAGGTCGTGTTCTGAATGTGGGTTACATTCATCAGAGATATACTTTGCGAGAAATGCCATCCATCATGATTTGCGGCGTGCCTGTCATCATTGTCATCAATGGGTTAGATATCTATATCCTAAAAAAACTGCAGGCTATAGAGTAATCATATTATAAATTTTATTAAGTAAAACTTGAAGGAAGGAGTATAATGCTATTATATAATAATATATATAATGTTATTAGGAGTATAATGCTATAATGCTATTCATGTATTCATGCATGGTGGGCGGGAAAAGGACTCTAAGGTGGGGATCATTGACAGTTCTGTTTGACGATTCATTTGACACATGTGAATTTGATTTGGAATTTTCTGGATTTGTCAGTCTTGACCGAGCTTATTTTATGTTATTTATTATTTATTCTACTACTGATAGTTGTATACAGGTAGTAAATCTAGATGGAATTTGCGGCAGAACTTAAATTAACAGTGACACTATTGCGATTTATCGAAAAAGACTATAAAATAGTTGGTTGTGTAGCGTGCGGTAGAGCTCGGTCAAAAATCGAGTGATATAATGGAATAACTTTTCGCTAGTAAGTGACTATACAGGGTGAGTCTTAAATAAGTGCAAATATTTTCAGGGCTGGTAGATCTCGATAAAAGAAACATATTTTCCCTTTACTATTTTTCAGATAAGTCCAAAATAACCGAGTTATTTAAGTTTGAAAATTTAAAAAAAATTGATTTTTTTTGAAAAAATTTTGAGAGCCACCGGATTTTTTCTGTATCTGCATCCCTTTTAGTGCCGTAACCATGGAGTAAAGCCGTAACTATGGTAATGTCAGAGATTAAGAAATTATACCGTGGGAAAATTTGCGGTGAACAGGCAGTTCTAAAAAGTTTCCGAAAAATATACAGAGAAATTTAAAAGAAAATGCACGATATTGACCATCTTTTTTTTGCGAAAAAAAAACTCATAGACGTGTTCCTGGGGTCGAAATATACCACCCCTGAAAATATTTGCACTTGTTTAAGACTCACCCTGTATAACATACATACGTGTAGTAAACCGATCATTTATGAAATTCACTTAATTTAACTAATTATATATTTTTTCTTGCATTTTTGCTTTTATTTACTACTTGTCAAAGATTAGATGTCAAATAATTAGATACGTCATACGTTAATTCTTAATCTTAATCATCATCAATCTTTAATCTTTTTATTCAAAGAGTAAAACATGGGAGTTCTATTTAGCACCAATTTAACGTAAATCTATTAGTACCAACATCATAATCTTTGAAATAATTATACCCCATGATTATACTCTGTTGGCAAGCGACAGTCTTGGGTCGGCATTTATTTATTTTATGTCTAGATAAAACACGTGGGTCAGTCTAGGAGCTTATTTTTGGTGACATATATCTTCAAAGGTAAAACATTTCATAATTCAAATATTTGTCTCTTATAACGACCAGAGTTGGTTTATTAATAATTTTAGTCTTTACATTGGGTGATGTGTGACATGCCATGAAAATTATGTGTCACACTGAGCTCAAAAGGTTCGCCAGCACTGTCATAGACATACCAAATCTCGTTTTTTGATTTCTGAAAAACTAAAAAAGTAATAGGGGTCAGCCCGAATGTGAGCCACTTTTGAAAAACACCTGGTATAGTATTTTTTGAAGTGAAATTTCTTTACGCGCGCTGGGAGTAAACATTCAAGGCCGTGACACACGAGCTAGCGAGATGACACGTGAGCGGCAACGAAAAGTGGTAAGCCAATGAGGAAGAGTTGAGACGGTCTTTGGAGCGTCGCGTCGGAACTCGGGCGCTATGTGAGCTAGGTGGCTGGAACTCGGAATGTAGATGTGGTTCTTCGAGCCCCATTTTTCATGATATTTTGACGACGTTTCGTGCACTATAAAACCATCAGTGGCGAAAAAATCGTCCGAATTAAATAAAACTTGGTATGTTGATAGATTGGACCAAGGCCAACTTGACCGTGTGCGACACGTATCACTGTGGCTGTTAGTTTGGACGTAAGAAACGTCAAAATTTGATGTCGTCCGATTGCGACGTTTTGTTTACATCTTAATCAGGGTGGGACTAAGGATTTGATATTGAAGAAAAATGTGGGTTGATATCGGCATAATTGGGGACGGGCTACGGGATGACGCCCTCGACGTTTCGAACCGATGCGATGCGATGCCTCTAAATGGACGAAATCATCAGGATTTTTTTTAATTAAGGGTTCATTAGACCAAACTCGGCACGTGGATAGAGGTACCCGAATGGAGTCATCAGACGGATAGACGGAAGAAGAAGTTTCACTTCAAATATGCGTACATAGTGCACACACAATTTTTTATTGTAATAAAGGCAATAACAATTTTTAGTTATAAATTACTAGAGATGAGCAATAAATCGCAAACTGCGATTCGATCGCAGCGATTTTAAAATCACAATCGCGACTCATAGGAAGTTGCAGCTGCGATTTTTTCTTTTTGCGAGTTTCAGTTTAGGCAACCAATATACACTATAGTTGCAATTTGCGGTTTTGTTGGGATTGTGAATTTGTAAACTAGGACTGTGATAACCTTCTATCTGCGAGTTTGAATTTTTAGGAGTTGCGATTTGCGATTTTGTTGCGAATGTGTGACATTGAAGCATTCTATAGTAAATTGCGATTGCATTTTTTCTCTGATTTCATTCATTTATAGAGAAGTTATTATTTTTTAGGGCCAAGATCATAATATGCCGGGTGTTTCTGAAGAGTGGTTCGCCCCTATAACTTTTTTATTTTTTCTGATAAAAAAGAGATTTGGTATGTAAGCATATTTATGACATAAATTAAGATTAATTGGGACGTATTCAATTCGTTTCGATCACTTCCTGTTTCACCGGAAATGACTACAACTTTTGATTTTTAAATGGCACCCTCGGTATTTTTTTACTTTATTGGATAGAAAATGACACTCTGAATAGAATGCCGAGTACAATATTTAAATATTAAAATCGCAATCGCAGGTTACAGTCACAGCTATATAAAAATCGCTATCAATCGCAAAATCGCAGCTCCAATTGCGATTGGAGAATCGCAGATTTGCTCAGTAAATCGCAGAATCGCAGTATATCTATAAATTACTATAAGAAAAGGAACTTAACTAAATTTTACTTCGAATTTTATACAATATGATCGAAACAAAAAGGCGTCAGCGATGGCTGTGAAATGCAGATCGCTGTTATTTTATATGTAAAATTACATGGGGAATGTCATTGATCGTCATTTCCAAACTAACTGGACGCCATTTTTTTTTCGATCATACGATATTAGATGAAAAAATATAGACTACTTACAGTACGTCTGCTGGATCTGTGTCTATGAAAGGAATGCAGACAAAAAAAACATTTAAATAAACAGCAATATATTTTATACGTCGACTTGACGAATACGTCACCGCAAATCGCTCCGCCCACTCATTTTATTGGCTACTTGCAAATTTGTCGAATTTTTATTGATGGAACGCGTCTTCTAATTTTTTACGAAAAACATCGAGAGAATATCGTTTCCCCTTTCACGGATACCCC